ATCTCTTACGGGGAATTGCTAATGTGGAGATATTTTTAGATGACGTCATCATAGGCGGTAAAACAATCAAAGAGCATTTGGAGGCATTACAGACTGTCTTTAGTAGATTACATAGTTCGGGTCTCAAGTTAAAATCTAGCAAGTGTGTGTTCTTAGTTAAAGAGATTCGATACTTGGGTTACGTAATCAGTAGGGAAGGGATCAAAACGGATCCATCGAAAATCGAAGCCATTGTAAAACTTCCAAGGCCGAGTAACGTTTCGGAACTTAGGTCATTTTTAGGAATTTTAAATTTTTACGGGAAATTTATAAAAAACATGAGTGGCAGGTTGGTTCCGTTATATGAGTTGTTAAAAAAAGATAAAGAGTGGTACTGGTCGGCGGAATGTGAAAATGCGTTTATTAAAATCAAAAAAATACTAAGTAGCGTGGACACCCTAGCGCATTATGATTCTAGGAAACCACTGGTAGTGACGTGCGACGCGAGTGGGCGCGGCATCGGTGGCGTGTTAACGCAGATCGACGCCGGCAGCGGTGGTGAGCGCCCGATTGCGTATGCGTCGCGCACGTTGACCGATGCAGAAAAAAACTATTCACAAATACATCGCGAGGCGTTGGCTATAATTTTCTGTGTAAATAAATTTCACCAATATTTATATGGCCGACATTTTACGTTGCGGACAGACCACAAGCCTCTTGTATCAATTTTCGGACCGAACACAGGCATCCCCGCAATGGTAGCTAGTCGTATGCAGCGGTGGGCTATTATCCTGTCGGCTTACTCGTTCGACATTGAATACGTGCGAACAGATGAGAATAGCGCGGACGGTCTGTCGCGGTTACCAATCGACTGTAATAAACAAAGCGAGCCGACGCCACCCGAGCAAACTTACATTGCATTCAGGATTCTTTAGGTTTAGACTACAATGAAATAAAAAACCAGACGGGACGGGATCCAATACTGGCTAGGGTATTGCTATACATACGAGACGGTTGGCCTGCAAACTGCGAATTGGCAAATTTGAAACCGTACTGGAATAGGCGAAATGAGTTGTACGAGGAGTTAGGTTGTGTTATGTGGGGGCACCGGTTAGTGGTGCCCGAACAATGTAAAAATAAAATTTTAAAAATTATTCACGAACCCCACATGGGCATAGTAAAGTCAAAGGCGCTCGCCCGCAGCTACGTGTGGTGGGCGGGTATCGACGAAGCAGTGGAGCGCGCGTGCCGGGAGTGCGAGACGTGCGCGGCGCAGGCGGACGCGCCGCCACGGCAGACGCCGCGCATGTGGCCCTGGCCCTCGCGCCCTTGGACCCGCCTCCATTTAGATTTCTTGGGGCCA